CATCTTATTCACATGAAGGCGTCATATTTTAGCTACTCACACACACATCTATGGGTGCACTAAGGTTTGTCTCATGGAACGTACATGGAGCTGGCTCCATAGAGAAAAGAATAAAGATTTTTGATCAGCTAAAGAGAGTGCAAGCAGACGTAATATTATTACAAGAGACTCATAGATCTGCCACATCCGCAGTTGAACTTAAAACACCTGAGTTTCCCAGCATGTTTTCTGCCTGCTATAACTCTAGGCAAAGAGGTGTAGCTATTTTAGTACACAAAAACATCATTTTCACAGTATTGGACACAGTCTCTGATCCAGAGGGTAGATTTATAATGTTAAAAATATCTGTACAGAATCAAAGCTTATGTATTGTCAGCATACACTGTCTAAATATTGATGATCCTTCATTCTTTCATAATTTTTCTCTGTACTCTCCGAACACTTGGACTGTCCACTTATACTTGGAGGCGATTTTAATTTTTGGATGAACTTTTTAACAGACATGCTCAGTACAGCTGGGACTCAGCGCAATTGGCAATCCACTAATATAGTTAAAAAGTACATGAGTGATTATGGGCTTTGTGATGCATGGCGATCTCTTCATCCTAACCGTAGAGAATATACCTTTTTTCCCACATGTCCATCACTCTCATTCACGTTTGGATTATTTTCTAGTCAGCAGCTCATTGTTGGCTGACATTTCAGACACTGAGATACACCCCATAGTTGTCAGCGACCATGCTCCGGTTTCTTTAACTTTGGTAAACAAGAAGACAATCCCACCAAGCAAAAACTGGAGGTTTAAGACATCACTGCTTAAAGATGAAAGTTTTATAGAATTTTTTAAAAAGGAGTGGGCTTTATATTTAGAACATAATGACCTCTGGGAGGCAGGAAAGGCAGTGATGAGAGGTAAAATAATCTCTTTCTCATCACATAAGAAAAAAACAGAAAACAAATGTAATTAGGAGTTAGAAGAAATCATTAAGACTTTAGAGGCATCCACAGGAGAAGAGTTAATGAGCAAATTACATAAAGCTAAATTAGAACTTCATGGAATTATTGACAAAAAGACACAATTTTTAGCTCTTTATCAATTTTTAAATCACGATTGTTTACTACAAAGACTCACTGATTCAAAAAATGCTGTATTCCTTTTTTTTCACTTTGGCCAAAAACACACCAGTAATGCTGCAATGTGAACCGTCAAAATAAAAGCTCAAAACAACCCAAAGCACTAGATCTTTTATTTCATTAGGATCTGTGCCTACTTCTCTCATTTTCCATTCTTATATACTTACACATACAGATGTGGACAAAATGGTTGGTACCCTTTGGTCAATGAAAGAAACCCCCACAATGGTCATAGAATCTGCAATAAGTAATAATAAAATAATAAAAATTTCTATGAAATTTTATCAGTGAAAGTCAGAAATTGCTTTTCAACCATGCTTCAATCGAGTTATTAAAAAAAACTCCTGGAACAGGCCTGGACAAAAATGATGTCAACCCTAACTTAATATTTAATTGCACATCGTTTTGAGGCAATCTCTGCAATCAAACAATTCCTGTAGCTGTCAATGAGACTTCTGCACCTCTCTGCAGGTATTTTGGCCCACTCCTCATGAATAGGCTGCTGAAGTTGACTTAGGTTTGAAGGGCGCCTTTTCTAGACAGAACGTTTTAGCTCCTCCCAAAGATGCTCAATAGGATTGAAGTCAGGGTTCATAGAAGGCCACTTTACAATAGTCCAATGTTTTCCTCATAGCCACTCTTGAGCGTTTTAGCTGTGTGTTTTGGGCCATTGTCCTGTTGCGAGACCCATGACCTGTAACTGAGGCCAAGCTTTCTGACACTGACCAGCACATTTCCCTCTAGAATCCCTTGATAGTCTAAGTTCTATTTTCTCACTAATCAAAAATAGACATTTTTTTTAGTTCTACTAGAAAAGTCTGTACTGAGCTTTACAAAACATAGAAATAGGTATCGGCCCTCAGAACCAGAATCGGTGCACCTTTAGGAAATTGGAAGGAACCATTACATAAAACCTCCTCTACATATTTTCTTTTAAATATCATGAGTCCTAACTTCATATCGTATCATTTGGCTGTCATGGGTTAGGCCAAAGCTTTGGCCACTAAAACAAAACTAGATATGTCTCAACCTCTCTCTGAGACATTTTCAGTGTTTATATTTTTCCATCAGATATGTGCAAGATTGCGTCAGTGTCCAACATTATTTGCAGATCCGTGGTAAAAATGTGTACTAATCTGCTGCACAGTTTGACTGCACTAGAGCATCTGTGCAGACATCCACACGCCTCACATATGGCAGCTGCAGTGTTCGGCCGCCGTGACCAGATAACCAAACGGGCCACAGCACAGTGGAAAGTTACTGTCATGGCCGAGTGTTAATTAAAAGCCGCACTCCGGGCCCAGCAGCCAAAATTATCATGGGCATCCTTCAATTGGAAACCTGATAACCTCCAGTGAGCAGATGCAGCTGGAGTCCACGCTGCAGCGGTCAGGAGAAGCGAGCAGATTAAAAAGCAGACAGTGAAGCCCTGAACACAGGATGGCTCAGTCGGTTCAGAAAAACGGACCATTAAACCTGCTGTAAAATACCTCATACGTGCAGATATGTGACTGCTTAACAGATGAACTCGTTAGCGATCAGGTCAACCCAGCTGTGACGCCACAGCTGGATTTCAGACACTGGAATAACTACATTATCCAGAATGTACCACCCTGCAGATCTAAAGTTCCAATTTCAATGAAAAAATAAGGCATTTTTTTTCTTACAACTTTTTGAAAGATCATGTTTTAAATCTAAAAGGCATTAGTTCGTAACACTGACTGCAAATGCAGAAGCTAAGATTGGTAAAAAAAAAAAAAGAAACATTGCTGCTAAGGGTCTTAACATTCAATTCAAGTTAAATTAAAGGAAGCTTATGTGAAAATAGTATAAATTATTATACCTGTGATAGATTTCTGAAGGGCCCTTTAGTTCATCACTGAACAGATCCTCTCAGTTAACGGCTAGTCTGAGAGGAGCCAATGCTAAACTCCATCACTGCTATGTTTAAGCAAAAACGTCATACCGGTTGAGACGACATTCCCAAAAATATCATCTGGTTGTTCGAATCAGTCAATAATCTGTATGATAGAATTAATTTTTGATAATACACCAAAATGAAAATAAAAAAATCTGCTTTTATTTTCAGGCCGCAAAAGGATTGTTGCAAAGCAGTAACGGAAACTAAAAACTTCCCTGACTTTCTCGTTTATTTATATCAGGGGTGGACCTTTAAAGCGCCCGAGCGCCAATGGCGCTAAATTTTCTCGTCGGGCGTTAAATACTTGACGACTTACCGCCCGGGTGGCGCCCAAGCCTTATTTGTCATTTACACACCGGCTTTCACCTGCATCATGGCCCCGCCCTGTAGGAAGCCTCCGTTTTCGTTTCGCGCGCGTGAACCTGCGCGCCTCTAGCCACGTTCTGCACTTGTACGATTCGTGCACGTACTGCACATTCTAGTTATAGTCACGTGAACTATAAGTTCACTGTTAAAGACGAAGTGGAACCACGCTAGAAACACACAAGCACGCAGGAAGATGGCGCCACCACAGGGATGGGATTTCTTGATGAAATCTCCGGCAAAACGCTTTAAAACTGGTGAGGAGAAGCGAGACAGTTCTAAACGTCTGAAGCAGAGAAGCGTGTGCGTAGGTGGAATGATTCTTGGCGGTTTAAAGAAGATTGGAGGCGCAGAGGATGGCCGTGTTCGAGTTGAGCAGCGCATCGCCTGGAAAACAGGCGAGAGAAGACGGAAGCAGCGGGGGGAGTGGCTAAAAGCCGGCGTTTCGCCGGGGACACACCGGCCGCGGAAGCGCCCGAAGCGCCGAGAAGCGAATTGCTCACGAAATTCGGCCGCTGCTCGCCGCTCCTCAATTCAGATCAGACGCGCCCCATTCGAGGCGCGCCTCGGCTCAGCTGTAGTTTTTCTTTTAACTACTTGCCCTCCATTTCCTCTCTATCTTTTCTCAGCTCTTTTCCTCTACGTGTGTGTGTGTGTGTGTGTGTGTGAGTGAGTGAGTGAGTGAGTGAGTGAGTGAGTGAGTGAGTGAGTGAGTGAGTGGAGAGAGAGAGAGAGAGAGAGAGAGAGAGAGAGAGAGAGAGAGAGAGAGAGAGAGAGAGAGAGAGAGAGAGAGAGAGAGAGAGAGAGAGAGACTATGCTGTGAACCAGTTGTTTCTGCCAGTTGAATCTCTTGGATGGCGGGGGTGACGATGGCAATTCGGACACAAATCTAACCGGCATGCACTGCTTGGTCTAGTCTGCGCAGAACTGGCTCACCTCGAACACAGCCGATGGCTTGAGTACAGCAAAGCGGAGTTGGTGATGTACTGCGTTGTATGCCGGAAGTATGCGACGACAAAATCGTGTTTTGTTGAGGGAACAAACAAATTCAAACTTGAATACGTTATTATGTTTGTGAATGTGTACAAAATAAAGGTTTATTACATTTAAAACAGTTCTGTTATTATTTTGACTCGTTTTGGCAGCTGACCAGTGGGGCCGGTAGATTCTTGGTGGGGCCGGTAAATATTCAGAGTTACCGGCCCGGCTGGCCGGTTGGTTTAGAAGTTAATGTCCACCCCTGTATATATATTTTTAATTTTATATATCTGACATTGAACACAAGCTGTTGAAAAAGGTCAGCTTCACCCAACCTCAACATGCACCATGCATGTTTTTAACGCACCGTAACGACCAACCGATACCAGAGATGCATTACTATTAACATGTTGGAATTGTAGCTGGAAATAAATCTGGAACAGGAGGAAGAATTTCATGGGAAAACAGCAGAAGTTGACTGGGATCATGCAAGTCTCCCACCTACACACACACACACACACACACACACACACACACACACACACACACACACACACACACACACAAAGGCAACCTTGTCTCACAAACAGTTTCTCTAACTTACCGTCAGTGGTGTCAGAGTCGTTGCTGCTTGTGGAGTATTTTCTCCTCTTCTTTTCGCTCTGCATCTGTTGGGGGGCGGCAAAAAGAAAACAGAGAGAAAACGACGAGTGAGAAGATGTTCACCATGAAAGTGTTAATGAAATAACACGTTGATGACACCAATCTGTCAGAGCCTGCAGCGGGCCTCCTGCCTGGATAAACGAAGCTGAGCACCGTTACACATGAGAGTGTCAGGTTTGATGTCACAATAATATGGTTGTTCTGCTTCTCCGTGTAGAAGAAGAGTTTGTATCAATCACATTCACAAGTTACTACAGGTGCTTTGGGTTTTCTGAAAAACACTGTTAATAATAACAATCATAATCACTAGAAAAAAATTCCAGAAGAAATTTTAAAAAGGGACCTGTCCACTGGCAAAAACCATGTGTCAAAGAGGCCCAAAATCATGAAATTTGGGTGACGTTTGGGTGAACAACCAAAAATAATCAAATAATCAATGCATGGAGATGCGGACATTAACGATTCTGCATCATAGAAGAGGAGCCATAATCAATTATAGTGGAATGTAGTTGTTATTTTAACGGTGGCATCCAAATCTGTCAGAGCGGGTGTTCTCCACATTTACCGGGTAGGAAACTTTGGTCCACCTTTATGTGGTACTGCAGGGCTGAGCGCTGGAGTTGTAACCTGACACCAAACCCGAACCAAATCAGCTCGATCGGTTCTGTTGGATTTGGGCCATGAATTATGTTAATTGAGCGGGTTGTCATGCAGCGCACTAGGGCTGCAACAACGAATCGATAAATTCGATGAAAATCGATTACTAAAAGCGTTGGCAACGAATTGCGTCATCGATTCGTTGTGTCGCACAACTCTTCCAAAAGCGCCCCCCCCTTCCCGCCCGCCGTTGCGCGCAGACCAGAGCAAGTCAGATCAGCGCGAGGGAGAGCCGCAGATCAGCGCGAGGGAGAGCCGCAGATCAGCGCGAGGGAGAGCCGCAGATCAGCGCGAGGAAGAGCCGCAGATCAGCGTGAGGGAGAGCCGCAGATCAGCGCGAGGGAGAGCCGGTACAGGCAGATCAGCGCGAGGGAGAGCCGGCAGACTTGAGCTGCTGCGAACCGGTTCCGCATTGTTGCACAGCGATCCAGGCAGCTGCTTCCAGCGCACGGTCCATTCTCAAAGTGGCGCAACCAAAAAACTATAATTAGCACACGATCGTTCATGTCCGCACATGTTCTCTATTTTCTGTCTTATTTGTGCCTGAAGCGCGCTACTGCGGAGCTCATCACCTGTGCTGTGGTGATGTCACCTCACGCAGCATCGAAAACGCGCTCTGCGCTTTTCGGTCAGGAGATCCCTTTGACCTGCTCAAAAGTAACTGATGAGGTGAAAAGGTAAGAATCCAGGCAACAGATTTTCTGGAGAATTAAGAGGAGATGCAGGAAGATGAGAGACAGACAGGACAGGAAAATAGTTCAATAAAAACAAGAAAACAAAACAAAGTGTTGAAAAGTAAAATGTAGGTAGATTTATCTCCACTACACGTTTTTACCAGTAAAAAACAATAAGTTATACACATGTCATATTTATACATCTGATACAATTCAGATCACCTTCAAAACTCAGTCACACACCCAGGGCCGTTTCAAGACATTTTGGGGGCCAAGGCAAATGCCCCCCCCCACCCCCCCCACCCCCAATAACTGGGCTCCCCAGAAGCCTCTGTGTAATTCATGCCCTCTCCAGTAGTGTTAGTTATATGGTGTTTATAAAAGCCCCTCAGACATTACTGACATGCTCTAATATTATCAGATGAAAAACTAAATTATCAGACATGCTGTCTCATCTGCTTATTTTATAAACTTGCAAAAAGTAACAAAACCATTTGAAAGCCACTATTTGTGGATTCTCTGAAAGTTTCCATGGAGTTTGTGACAACTTATTTTTTCATTGATCCTATCGTCTAATCTCACAGTTGAAACAAGCATCCTTAATAATCTGTGCACAGGAAGCTTACCGATGCTGTAGTAAAACAAAAGGTATAATAATTTATTATTAATAAAACCTTGTTGCAGCACTAAAGCAGAAAAATTAGATTTTGCATTAAATATGCAAAATATTTACATATGAATTGTTTTAGAGCCCTTTAATTGGCAGAATCTGATATTAATTTAGTTCTTACAAAAAATGGGTCCCAACATGGTTTGTGTGGTGTTGCCATAGTGTGACGTCATAGGCACAGATCCCCTGTCCTCTTGTTTGGAAATGGAAATATGGTCACCCTACATTAAACAAACTGTCCACCCGGGCTTTTGCACTGCACAGAGACGCTTCGCTGCCTACGACTGAACGTCAGTTGAGAGTCAGTCTCATGCAGACTGACCAATGAAGAGAGGGCCTCAAGTTAAGACCCTCTCCTCATTGGTCAGTCCACACGAGGTGGGTCAAAGGTTACTCTGGGCGGGTTACGTGTTGTCAGGCATTCAAGTATTGAGTATATTTACTGCATATTACAGTAAAATATTCTGTATGTGACCACATTATGGTGATCCTTGGGTCGTGATGATGGAGCCCTTGAATATTGTTGCCCAGGGTACAACAAAGTGTTAATCTGGCCCTGGTTCCGCCGTCACATTCCCGCAGAAACTGGTTGATCACACCGGGGCCAGACTACTAGCATGTGGTTTTACAACCACAATGTCCTCGGAAGCAAAAACGCTTTTAAAAGGGAGGGAGGAGTCCTAACTGTTGCTGCAGGCGTGTTGTGTGAGAGTGCAGTTATATACTGGTTAATATATTTTTGGGTTCAGTTGCTTTCATGTGGCCTAATGTGAGTCTATTTGGGATCATTGGAATGATCAGCAGCATTTCTTGATGTGACTTTATGGCAGTTGCCCAGGTCATCATCGCAAGGGAGGATGGCATTCATTTACTTTTGTTTTATTTGGTATTTTTTCAGTCATTTTTGGAAATAGTGATCAATTTTGATAAATTCACAGCCTATGTTTAATTACATTTAAAATAAATGTCAACAGATGAGATCAAACAAAACAGATGAGAATTGCCCTTAAGCTGTTTAACTTGGACCAAGCATTTTAGGTCACAGATAGATGTAGCTTAGGGTCTCTGTCTATACACCTTATAAGACAATTTAGGTGATGGCATGTTGTTTTTCTGCTATTGAACTGTTTTCTAATAATGTTGTGTTAAATAAAGTGAAGGAAGGAGAGAAATAAGTTTCCCTAGCAGTTTTTAAAAATTTCCCCATGTAATCCGATTAATAGATTAATCGTGTCGAGACCCCATCCGATTAATCGATTATCCAAATAATCGTTGTTGCAGCCCTACAGCGCACTCCACTCGCTCGATCAGCGACAGACAGACAGACAGACAGACAGACAGACAGACAGACAGACAGACAGACAGACAGACAGACAGACAGGACAGACAGAGAGAGGACAGACAGAGAGAGAGAGACAGACAGAGAGAGAGAGAGAGAGAGAGAGAGAGAGAGAGAGAGAGAGAGAGAGAGAGAGAGAGAGAGAGAGAGAGAGAGAGAGAGAGAGAGAGAGAGAGAGAGAGAGAGAGAGAGAGAGAGAGAGAGAGAGAGAGAGAGAGAGAGAGAGAGAGAGAGAGAGAGAGAGAGAGAGAGAGAGAGAGAGAGAGAGAGAGGAGAGAGAGAGAGAGAGAGAGAGAGAGAGAGAGAGAGAGAGAGATTGTCTGCTCACACAAGAGAGAGGATCGGAGGACGCTCCTCCAAACACGCATTATTATTTTCATAATTTCATTAATATTTCTCCTGGAAGCGCTCCGTCAGACTGAGTGTTCTGATGCTGGTGTCGGTACAGGATCTGCTCGGGTGCATGATCGGCTCGCGGTCCTTCGACTGCCGATGACGTCAAAGTAGTTGATTGGCTGAACAATGAAGCTTACGGAAGTTACGTCATCACCTTATGATTTTGGTCAGAACAAATTTGCGGTCGTAGTCTTAGCGGTTGTAGTCCTGTAGCCCATAAATCAACACTTTTTGGAGAAAATGTGTTTGAATTTCTAAAGGAAATGTAAAATAAAAGCACACGATAAACGGTGACCCTCAAAAGCTCTTGATGTTGATGAAATGGGGCAAAATAAAAGAACTTCATTAAAAGACACCAAGCAATATTTTGAATCAAAGAATGTTTTTAGATAACAACTAAGGAAATATACAGACGAACTCCACATTAATACAAACAGATATGGCTTCATATATAAGAACTGTTCTCTTTTTGTCAGTCCGTTGTTGGTTTTATGCAGTTTCACATTCTTTACAAGACAAAGATAATATGGTGTTTTATTAACAAATTACAATTATAAAGAAAACATTTAGGTGTTAACAAACAAGAATTTATTAACAAAACTGCTGATGTCTTTCCAAAACGTATGTGTGAAAGCCGAGTAGATTCGCAGTTATGTGACGTCATCAGCGGGCGCTGGACCCCGAGCCAATCCTGTACCGACACCGGGAGATCCTGTCTTGGGGAGAGAGCGGGGGAGAGTGACAACGGCTGCAGCGTAATCATCTGTCTCTTTTATTTAGGGACACGGAGAAGTAAAAAGGAGAGAGAAATAGAAGATAGAAGTTCTTGTTCCACTTCATTGTTTTGTTTCATGATGACTGATGTTAAATTCAGCTTAAAGACAAACTGGGAGGAAGCTTTGGTTCATTTTAATTTACAGGAGATCTTGTTTCCTATCTGCTCCTCCAGAGACAGCATGGACATGGACTTAAAAAAATGTTAATTTTTTTAAAGTAATTATCATCTGTATGCTAAACTGATTAACTGGCAAACACATCAGTGTTCTATTTCTGGGACAACACACACCAGATTGAAATACTATGCAAACCTTTGAAGAAATGGAGGGAAAGGGAAGAAAAATGTCAAAAGCTTTTTTTGTCCTCTAAATACAGCCACGTTTCAGTAAGTATAAAACAATCATCATCATCTTCATCAGATCTCCTCATAACTTTAAAGAAACATCAGTTAGAAGAGCAGGATTCCTGCTTTCTGTCAAAATCTGGCTAGTC